TTGGGATTTGAAAATTTATCCGGTAAACCCTTAAATCCGTTAAATCGGAATCCGCTAAATCGGAATTCACTGTGTATGCGATTCATACAGTACAGAGTTAAGCAATTATTTGTTTGATTATTGTCTCCAACTACGCACCATCATATAGAAAATCAACATTGGATTTATTGCTACCATTCTTGTTTTTGAAGCAGAGATTGCTCAAATGACATGTTCATCTTTTAGTTCAAGAAATTACATTTATTTCTTTCAGAATTATTAAAAAAAAATTTTTCATTTATTGTTAAATATGTAAACTCGATAAGTCGGCCAAAATTTTCACCCATTTACTTAATATTTAAGTAATTTAATTCGATAAGTCGGTTTACTCACCCCTCACAGTTTACATATGTAACAAAAAACTTGCTCTATTACAAATTCTGCAACAACTTAATACGAGAAAATTGCAAAGCTCAATCTGGCAGTCACGGCCGCCTGGTAGTTTGAAAGCAATGTACTCTTTTTTTTTGACTATTTTTCTTTTACCATTATCATAGGTCCCAATTACTCATTTATTCAATCACCACATTCATCACCTTATTATTAACATTTAATTAACATTTAAAAAAAATCGGTATAATCAATGATGCTAATTCAGTAATGATTTTTTTATCTAATAGTTGATTTGTTTTAGGAAAAATTTTTTTAAAAAAGGATTCGATGTTCTAGAATATAATCGCATAGTATATATAATTGAGCTTGCAGCTGCAGTTGAAGTTGAAATTGAAGCTGAAGTTGCAGCCGCAGAGCGCTCCCCAAAAATGTTTTTAATGAATATTGGCTTTATTTATAATAAAAAAGATTTCTGACAGTAATGGTTTGTTTAACAGATTATCGTTATACGTGACTACACACTAACCTTCTTGATTATCTTTCTCAACTATTTTTATCTTGAGATATTACATGAATTATGTGATCGTGCTGTTTTATTAATAATAATTAATTTGTTTCTTAACCTTATGATTGATCTTACATTGTTGGTTATCCTTCTTAACCTTACAGTTATCTTTCTTAACCAATTTTATCTTACGATTTTACATGATCCATGTTGTGATTATCTTTTCTTAACTTACGTTCTTACATGATCGAGATTTTTATTAATTAATTGTTGATTATCTTACGATCTTACAAGGTTCATGTGATTGAGATGTTTTATTTATTGATTGTTAACTATTATTAAATTACGATCTCATATACAAGATTCGTGTGATCGAGATGTTTTAATATTAATAATTAATTGTCGGTTATCTTTTTTGACTATTTATTAACAATCAATTAGATTACGTAAAAAAATTTGTGAAAATTGACCAATCAAATTCACATTTTTCATAATTATATTTTAACGAAAAATTCAATCACAAAAAATTTAATTTTAATAAAAAACTATATTATAATCTAACATTGATACAACTAATAATAATATGTACTATTTTTACTGATTTAGCAGTTGGTTGAAACAAATAACCTTTTAAAAGGAACTGCAATTTTCAGGACTGACTGAAGTTGATGAATACGAAGAATTAATCTTCAAGAAATTTTGTGGGACGATGATGATGACCATACATTAATTCAATCTACCAGGGTTTCTTTTGTTAATAATAATGACGATGATGATAATGATACCATTGATAATGATAACTACAATAATGACAATGACGATGATAATGATGATGACGACAATAATGACAATAACAATAATAATGATGGTGACAATAATAGCATCAGCAACTACATTAACAATGTGGTGGTACTGGTGGCTACGAGCAACTGCCACGAACCCTCCCTCTATTCATATGTACTGGCACATACATTAACAACAAGGATAATAAATTGGGATATGTGAGCATTAGTTTAATGAAAAAGACCTACAACGGAGTCACCAAACAAAAATCCTGAAACAAATACTTTGGCATCATCATATCTAGGTAAAAAAAATTTTCTTTTACGATTAAACTAGCGTGTAAACTATATTAAATACATGAGTGTATTTATTAGATTCCAATACATCAATGATAATCTACAATTTCAACGGTTGGCAAATCGGTACCAGGTGGAAATATTTTTTGCATTTGGAGGCCATGGAGTTAGAATTTACATATCTAGTTATAGAATCGTCATCGTCGTCATCATCATCATTAATATTCGAGGATTCATTTAAAAGAATATTTCCAAGCAATACTCCTTTTTTTACTTCCTTCTCGCAAATTATTGATTTTTTTTAGTACGATAATAATCATGATTGTCGTAATATATTAACTTTGGGCATCAGGTTGCATAATTTTTTGGTAATTATAAATAAAAGGAAAATTTCGGCCACTTTGATCAATGATTAATTAGTCAGTCAACTGATCAATGACCAATCAAAAAAAAATTTTTTTTCGAATCCAATCTCTATTCTAGATAATTTACGATAGATAAGTGAGGATATGATAGCCTGCTATTTGTTTTTTTTTTTATTGTCTCTTTCTTTTTTTTTCATCTTGAAAAATAAGTAGAATGATTCCAACAAGGGATACTCCTGGCAAGCTGCTGATTATTCAAGGTAAATAATTCATTTCAGGAAAAACAAATTTTGCTTGTTGTTTTTGTTTATATTTCTCGGTTACTTTTTGGAAGCCATCCATCATCTTTGAGATCGCTAACACTAGTTTTAACATGGTAAACATTATCAACTCGCATATGATGAAACATAATCCTGCCTGCTGGAAATCTTTTTCTGAACAACTGATGATCATCATAACTTTCTTTGACTACTTTTCAACCACGGGGCCTATTTTCTCCATTGATTTTCTTGACAAAAAAATTTACATTGTTGAAAATTCCAGAATTTCCTTTCTTTCCACAATCAACTAATCCATTGGTAAATTATTATAGAATGAATTTTTTTTGTTAGGATCTGCATGAAATTTTGACATTTACATAGCTAGCTGTATGTATTAGATGGGCGTCTAAATTAATTTAGACAATTTATTATAATGTAATGTCTAAAAAATAAATTCGATCGAATACAAATTAGTTATTATCTGGAGATAATTTCCAAATTTAGTCAATATTTTTTTGAACATCACGCTATTTTATTATTTGGACATTTTGTATATAAAATACTAGTACTAGTACTATTACTATAATATATTAATAATATTAATATTACCATTAAACAATCTATAGCTGTATGCGATCTTTCAAATCATGTGATTATGTCCCTACTTACATCATGTTTGTTATACAAAATGTACTATACTATTTTGTATAAAATAAATTCAAATTTGGTGTTTTTTCCTACAAATTGAATTTTTTTTCTTTTTTTTTTTCTTCTCCCTAAATTTTCTTCAAATAATACAAATTTCTCAATAAACTTTTAACGAACCGAGTAAAATAATACAATAATAAATAAAAATGAGTTCAGAAACAACACCTGGTTCTCTTGCTTTCGATGTTGACTTTAAAGAAAATCCTGAGGCACCTATGCCAGAAAATTTGAAAAAAAGACTTTCAGAAAAGAAGGAAGAAAAGTATATATATATATATGTATTAATATTAATGTCATCATTTTTATATAAGTAGATATATTTGCCCCTTTGGATTATCTGTTATCTAATAAAAAATCTTCAAAAGTCGTTGTATGCGTGACTTTATGAATAAAAATATATATATAAATTTTTTTTAATATATGGATTATATTTACATGCGATGTATGTATAGATGAATTAATATTGTGGTTTATATTAATTATCATTATGTAGCTTATCTCAAGAAGAAATCAATAACAAGCTTTCAGAAGCCGAGGAACGAAGAAAGGTAAAATAATTACTAATCAATAATTAATAATTTATTACACACAAGTACACTGAATGAATGAATGACTACATATATATATATATATATAGAAAGCAGAAACAGAAAAGGCAGAAAAGGCAGCTAAAGAAGTTGAACGTGCTAAACAAGTAGCAGAGGAGACACGTCGCCTGTCCGATAATAAATCTAAAGAACTGGCTGCTGAATTACAAAAGAAACTTGATGATGCCGAGCAAAAAAGAGAAGAAATTTATAAGGAACGTGTCAAGAAAACTGAAGATGAAAAAAAATAATAATGCATGTCTGATGATTAATGGAATCAGGATTAATTAGTAAATTGGAATAAATTTTATAAATATTATAAATATTATAAATATTATCATTAGATTAAATTATACATTATTAAATAAATAAATAAATATATATCTATATTCACATGTCTTTGACTTTTTGAAAACATTATATTAAAAAGTTAACCGACACTCCTCATGAGCTTTTTTAAATTTCACACGTTTTAAAGAGTGTTTAAAATTATTGTATAGATAAATAACAATGATTTATTTCAGAATAAGGTTTCTGATCCAAACTATTTTCGGAAAAAGTAGCTTTGGCAATAGTTTAAAATAATTTGGGCCTTATAAAAAATTAATTTTGCCAGTGTTCCGGCAATTTCTGCCATTAAGAGTAAGAGAGGTAGTAGTAGGAAACCTTATTTCAGAAGAAATACATTTTATGAAAATAAAGGACTTGTTGGAATTGAAAAAGAATACTGTGGTGAAATATATATTAATATTTATAAACAGGCAGGTAAACTAACAAAACGTAAAAATGTAATGCTACAGAATTCTCGGACGAAAAACTGTATTAACAATATCCTTTTGAAATTATTGATAAATTTATTCAAAAACCCTCATATCTTCCGAGCCATATAATGAAAATGGTTTCACTCAATTGATTGATTCACAAAAGTTGAATATTTAACAAGATGAATAATTATTGTATAACTAAATTTCCAGATAATGGAAATTATGCAATGGTTCTCGATGACAACAATAATGCTGACAATGATACCACATACTAACAATGTAAATATTAACATTGATATTTTTGTCACTTTATTAATCAATCGATTTATTTACTTATTAATTTTATTAATGGATATATATATACATGCAATGATTAAAAACGACAAAGTAAAATAACACAAGAAAAGGTAATTACTACAACTATAATTTTATAAATTTATGAAATATCAAATAGCTAAAAAATTGATTGTTCAAGATCTAGGATTTAATATAACTACTTTATCAACACCATGTTTGTAAAATTTGATTTTTAAAGGGTTAGGTCCATTCCAACTGTTATAACCCTTTGTTAGAAAATCAACAGCATTGGAAAAAAAATACTCTATGGTATTTAAATTTTTTGGTTTTGTTTGATTTAATACATCAACTATTTTATCACCATCTATTGCATAATTATTATTATCAGCTGATCCATAGTTTTTTAATACAATGCGTTTTAATTTAGTGCAATTATTAAATATACAAGCCAGCTCTTGATTCACTTCGTTGTTGTGATGTATATGTAAATGCTCTAGATTTTTACAATTTTGTCCAATCTATTCAATCAAGATCCCTAAATTTTCAATGTCACTAAGTTTACCATGAATTGTCAAATATTTAAGATTTTTCCCATTGGCTATAATGGAACCTAACACGTCTAAAAATAATGATGACTCATCAGAAAGACCTAAAACCAATACTTGAAGATTTGGTAAGAAAACAGATTTTAAATTAGTCATTGTGCCATCACCACCAAGTAAGGATTTATCATCAGAGTCATCATATAATTTCAACGTTTCCAAGTTTTGAAATGTCTGGATTAAAGAATCTAAGTTACTTCTAATATTATTTTCATAATAAACTATTGATTTTGAATGAATAGATATTGCTTTCTTGAAATCATCCGATGATAATAAATTGTAAGATATCAAAAAAGATAATCTTTTAATCTGACGCTGTGCTTTAATTAATCGAGCTAAATAATATTTTATTTTTAGAAATTGAATATTTCTACAAATATTTGACAACTCATCAAGAAGATCCCAGCTATTTAAGTATGTAAATTCTAATTCATAAAGATTTTGGAAACACTGTGGTGGTTAATCATGTCAGTCATCAAAAATCCATGGCCTGAATTAAAATTAAGAACAAGCTTCCTGATAGCAGTAGAATAATCTAAAGCAAACTTTATTAATCTTCCTACGAAAAAATGATATTCCAATTCATAAGACATCAAAATCTCTAAATAAGGATCCATCATAAATTTTAATTTATTTATAAATTTAGCGTAATTGTGCAATGGTTGTTTCTCCAATAATTTAAAATTTATTTTATCCATAAACAAGTCTTTATCCTCTTTTTCTGCCTCTACTACGAAACAATTAAATAATATTTTGAAGCTGCCATAAGAATAAAATGGGTTTCTCCATAAGGTTGAAATAACGATATTGTGCCATTGTCTATTGACTAGAATGCATGAATATAGCGTTTTATAATCTTTTTCAATATATTTAGATATTTCAATCAAAAGTTCTGGTGGTAAACTAGCAGCCATTTCCTGCAAATGAAGAGAATTTAATTTTTTTGTTGTGCGTGAAAATAAACTAATGTGAAAAATTAAATTAGCCAATCAAAAGGAATTTCGCACCAAACGCCCCTAAATTCAATTCACATGTAACGTTTTCTAAAGATCGATCCAATATTAAAGATTTATTTTATTCAACGAAAGGATCTGCATAAATTTGGCCAATCAAATTTCTTCTAACAGCTACGGTGCAGATCATCTATAATTTAATTGCTTATATATAGTAACAATTGGTCAACTTCTTCAAAATACTAAAACAAAAAAAAATTATATCATTTTAAAAAATTTAACCGATAAATTTTATTGTTCATGACTCAAGCTTCAAAACTTATCGGCTGGTTTTTCTTAAACTGAAAATTGGCAGAGCCTTAGCAT